AAGTCGATTTAGCGATGTCTGTCTGTCTGTCTGTCCGTTGTAATCACGCTATCTTTCGAATGAATTGAGATAGATGGCTAAAATTTTGCACACATGTTTATTTTTCCAGTAGGCAGGTTAAGTTCGTAAATGGGCCATGTAGGTCCACGTTTTCATATAGCCCCCATATAACGGTACCTCCCTATATTCGGTATTTTGATGATTTTAACGACATTATTCACGCGAATTGTTTCAAATTTGGTTCAAATTCGTTATAGGAACTACAGTCTGTGCCAGAAAATTGTCTGTGCGGGTCCAGGTCTTCGTATAGGCCCCATATATCAGTACCTCCCTATATTCGGTATTTTGATGATTTTAGCGACATTATTCACCGAAATTGTTTCAAAATTGGTATTTGAAGTTCGTAATGCATACTACAGTCTAAGATAGAAAATTGTCTCCCGATATTTAGTATTTTGATGATTATAACGACATTATTCACGGGAATTGTTTCAAATTTGGTATTTGAAGTTCGATATAGGAACTACAGTCTGTGACAGAAAATTTTCTGTGCGGGTCCAGGTCTTCGTATAGGCCCCATATATCAGTACCTCCCTATATTCGGTATTTTCATGATTTTAGCGACATTATTCACCGGAATTGTTTGAAAATTGGTATTTGAAGTTCGTAATGAATACTACAGTCTAAGATAGAAAATTGTCTGTGCAAGTCCATTTTTTCGTATAGCCCCCATATAACGGTACCTCCTGATATTCGGTATTTTGGTGATTTTAACGACATTATTCACGGGAATTGTTTCAAATTTGGTACTTGAAGCTCAAAATGGATACTACACCCTAAGACAGGAAATTGTCTGTGCAGGTCTACGTCTTCGTATAGGCCCCATATATCAGTACCTCCCCATATTCGGTATTTTGACGATTTTAGGTACAATACCCACCGAAATTGTTTGAAATGTGGTATTTGAAGTTCGTAATGGATGCTACAGCCTGTGACAGAAAACTGTCTATGCTGGTCCAGGTCTTTGCACAGCTCCAATTTAACGGCACCTCCTTATATACGATATTTTGATGATTTTAGCTACATTATTTACCGCTTTTTTCAAGTTTCCAATTTGAATATGGTAATGGCTTATGACAAGCAATGCCTATGTATGTCCACGTCGTATAGACCCCAATATGACGGCTATATTCGGTATTTTTAAAATTTTAACAGAATTTTTTAAGGATTTTATTTTTTAAAAATTTCCAAATTCGTTGCAAATGGTGGAGGGTATTAAAAGTTCGGCCCGGCCGAACTTAGTGCTTTTTAACTTGTTTTTCTTAAAACAAGTAAAAAACATTAAGTTCGGCCGGGCCAAACATTTAATACCCTCCACCATTGGGTAAAGAAAACAAATTTTTTTATATGTATGGGGGCCATACAAAAACGGGAACCTATATAGATAATTGTATATTTATATTTGTATTGTAATATGTGCACTATAGGAAAACGTGGACTTCAATATTCAATGTTCTGCCACCGGGCTAGAACTCATTATGAACTACAAATACAGATTTTTAGACAAATCCGTGGGAAAATAGGGCAAAAATCATCAAAATAGCGAATATCGTCAGCTACTGAAATATGGGGGCTATACCAAAATGTGGACCTATTTATACAATGTTTCGCCACCGAATCCGTTATGACCCACAAATACCAATTTTTAGGAAAATCCGTGAAAAATGGCAAAAAATCATCAAAATACCGAATATCGGGAGGTACCTTTATATAGCGGCTATACCAAAACGTGGACCTATATATAAAATGTTTTACCACCGGTGCTGGAAATCATTATGACCTACAAATACTAATTTTTAGACAAATCCGTAGAAAAATGTGGCAAAAAATCATCAAAATACCGAATATCGGTAGGCGGCTATACCAAAACGTGACCGATATATCTCATTATTAATACCAATCATCCTAGATACAATACAAATTATTCTGCCAAATTGTGAAGCTCTACGTCAAATAATGTGTATTGTGATTTCAACAGACAGACAGACACCGTTAAATCGACTTAGAATTTATATACTTTATGGGGTCTTCGACGAATATTTAGGGATGTTCAAGCTGGAGGACATAAAAAGTTTCCAAAGAGGCATGCTTGAGTAAAAAGCAGTGCTTTGTACAATTTTTGATTTCTTTATGTAATTTTATTCCATTTGTAATCTATGTTCTTTTAATAGTTTGTCCTTTACGCTTACTATCAATGACTTCAGGGTGTATAAACGCATAATGCAACAAAGTGAATATAACGAGTACATAAAAATATGCACACAGTTTCGTCACTCAGCCAAATTGAAATTACTTGTGTATCAGACTTGCTTATAATAAATACACTTCCTAGGATTGATATTGCTGTTCGCCGTATACAGTATTCTTAATGTTTCCCATTTCTCGTTAAAAATAGACTAAACTAAGGGTTTGTTATGACCACGTTTAACTATGTAATGTTTCATACATACACATACTTGTATACATATTTATATATGTAAACATGGCGCTGATATAAATATAACCCTCTTCACACAAGATGCCAGTAGAATGTGGATAGGGAACCTAAAAGACTATCAGCGTTAGCACTCCTAGTGGGTGGTTTTTACACATTAGAGATGTATATATGTAACTAAATGTCTGAGATATTAATAAAACTGTAACATATTGTAACTCATTTTCGAGGTTTAAACATTTCTGAATTTAAAACTAAGTTGAAATGGTATAAAGTTCATGTAGGAGAACCAAGAAATACAGAAAATAGAATTGAGAAAACATTGAATACAACATACTACGTCATTGGTAGTTTTATCTTAAAATATGCTGCTATTGCTAATTCTAAGCAAGAAACAGTGGAGAAATCGCAAATAATGTACTCGAATTGCTATGGATTGTGTCCAAATGACAATCGCCTTCCATACCTGGCGCTGAATTCTTGTTCTATGAAAAAATATTTTTTGTATATTTTCTGTGATTATAATTATAATTTAAAGTTCAAAAGGCTAAATATGCCGAAGCATTTGTATCTCTTAAATTCGGACTTGTATTGCCCATTTGATATATATGGGAGCTATATCCAAATCTGATCCGATCTTGATAAAATTTGGCAAAGATATTTCTGAGCTGTATTTCATATATTTCCCTGTATATCGTTGTTACGGAGTGCTTATTACGGCTGTTGGTAACAAATATAACAAATAGGATGAAGCTATAGCTATATCTGAACCGATCTTCACCAAATTTGACATACAAGCATCTAGACTCAATTCGGTCGTAAGTGTCAAATTTCATCCCATTTGGGCAAATATAGACGTTTGGTGCACAATAAAAGATAAATCGGACGAAGTTATATATGGGAGATATATCCAAATCCGAACCCATCTCGATAAAATTTAGCAAAGGCATTTCTGAGCTGTATTTGATATATTTCCTCAAAAATTTCCCCTAAATTTTTACCGATTATCTCCAATTTCAATAGGGTACGTCCTTGGTCCAAACAAATGATTTTTGCAAAATTTCATCTGGTTAGGGCAATAAATGCGAACTGTACTTTGTTTACAAAAATACATGGACAGAGGGACGGACGGACATGCATACATCGACTCAGAATGTGATTCTATGCAGATCATCAAAAGGAACTATGGGTCTATCTCGTTTCCTTTTGCCTGTTACAAACAAATGCACAAAGACATAATACCCTGGCCACCTTCTGGTGTAGGGTATAAAAACAAAGGAACGTATCGCGATTTAATTTAATTTCGATCCCTAATTTAAATTTGGTCAGCCTAAAGTTCTTCTACGAAAAATCCAGCCGATGACTTATGGCAAAAAAAATGCTCTTAAGGTGAGAATACATAAAACGCTTTTATGACTGGCATAAGCTATCGGCTGGTTTCTTCGTGAGGGAACAAAAGAGTTTTAGGTTAACTTAGTTCGGTTTTTGCTCTAAGCTCCTTTGTTCTTTTCCGAAGCCAGTCAAAAAAATGTTTTATGTATTTTCACCTTTATGCATTCTTATCTTTATGTATTTAAGGGTGAGACCATGGTAAAATGAAGAAGGCAAAGTCATTTCAAATTCTAGAGACGACAAAGCCAACTTCTTCGCTGATTGTGGATAAAATTTGACAGAAATATTGATTGGGGTGTTCTCTACTAGTACTATACCTAAAGTAAAAGGTTTGGAAGAAAACACATATTCAGATTGCCCCTTAAGATTAACTCTCAATACGACTTTACATATATCTTTTACTATAATCTCTTATTATAACAGGATGTCTTTTTGTCGTTATGCAATCATTGGGCGCCACAATGGTGTAATGGTCTTAGCATGAAATCTCTGGTTATATCTTCTTAAAATAGGATTTTTTTTACAAATATTGAAACAAATATAACGCTATTCAGTACTACTTGTTCTATAAAAGAGGTTCACCTGTCTCTCCTGTAGTATTTAAAAATAGAATTAATGATTATTTTTGATAATCGCAAATTTGAATTTACTCATAAATTCGGTATTTTAGCGTCAAAAATAAAATAAGGCGGAAACAATTTCCTATTTTTTTTGTTTTACATTAAAAATTTAATTTATATGTTTAATGATTTTTGTCGATAACATTTCATTTCTGTGGTATTTGTATAAAATTATCTTTGGAATGAAACACATTTGAAAAACCTTACCTAGATATTTAAAAATAAAAGTTGATTGCCATTCTGAGTAAATTTCATTCCAAAACAACGTTCTAAACTTTCAGAACACATCTCGTATTCCTTGTTTTTAAACACATACTGACCTACATTACAATTACAACATATTTAGTTGCACATATGTATGTATCTTTTAACACTTCCGAATAATAAATGAATATATGTATATATAACATTCAGATATGTATGCATGTCGATATGTAAAATACTTAGTTCCAAATGCGCTTGTCGATGACAGCACATTCGACGACATTACTTACCTCAGCGAGTGTTTGTTGCTGACTTTCAGTGAGTTCTGGTACCATTGACATTTTCAATTTGCGTTGTTGGATTCTGTGGTGCAATGTTCTGCTGCGATGCTCTGTGTTGTTGTTGTTATTGGCAATGAATCGAATAGCTATCTACCTGCAGGTAAATAATTAATTTTGGATAAGTTGCCTGGTTGAATGATTGACAAAAGTAGGACCATCAAATAAATATGTATATATATTTTGAGATTTTTTCCAAGACGCGAAAATAACAACAAATCGATATCTAGAAGTGCGAACTTAACACTAATCGCACAATATGTTCCGCTCTGGCTGGCTGTTATGTAGGTTCACTGTATGAGATCAAATGGTTGAGATAAATCGATTTGCCTGCTTGTTTGTTTCATACACAGTTCAATCGTAAATTAACTCAAGTGCTTGTGGACTTATTCTATGGAATTGGGCACTTTTATAACTTTCTTTTTATGGCAAGTGAAATTGAGGAACAAAACAACACCACTTTTTCATGCCCTTGTAATGTTTAATCATGAATTAGTATGTTAATGTTTCGAAAGCAAACAAACATATAGGCTGACGCTGGGCGGACTCAGCAGACAATTGTCGAAGCTAAAATACAGCCCAAGAATATCCAGTGTCAGAAAATATTTGCTAAATAGCCAAATATTGTGGTTTGCCTTCAAAAGTTTGTTTTTGTTTTATTCTTCAGTTTATTTTTTTCTGTCGTTCACACACACTCACACTTCTCTATTTAATACGGCTGATGTTGAACGTACAACAGCTGGGCAATTAAAAGCAAATTTAGTTTGTATTGCAAGCGATGTTTCAATGCACGCGGCTATTCTACAACTGGTCGGAATACCCAGTTCTTCGTTATATTAAAACTCTTTTCCATACTGTGTGTGGAGCAACCATGCATGGGGCTCCATTCGAAGTCGCCGGGCCGAGGGAGAACCATGTGATAAGCGGCTGAGTAGGGTTTCTTTCGTATTTTGTGAGATAAAATCTCTCTCCTCTCTCTTGTTCACGTTTCGATGGCAGAGTACGTGGTGGTATTTTGTTATGGCCAAAAAAGTATTCTCCACTCAAAACAGCTGTTTTCGTTAGTCATGCAAGTCATAAAATGGGAGGATTGGGGGCTTCATTTAGTTGGTGTGTTTGTGCCCATGACTGTGTGGTAAACAAAATAAATAAAATGAACAATAAAATATAGTCAGCTGTTTTAATTTGTTTGTTTTGCTTTATTTCTGTCGTTGCCACAATTTTTACTATCGAGTTTTAGGTACGCAAGTCTACAAATTTTAAGCACGTCATCCATGTGGTAAATTGTCAAAGCCCAGCGAAATGTTTTGAGTGTTTTCTACTTCGTTAAGGTTCGGGTACATAAGCAGTTTTAAGTCTTCGACGTGGTAGAAGAACCCAGGGGCATCAACGCTTGATATATCAAAATGTTAATATGTTTTCTTTTTTCAAAAATAAGAAGATTGTTATCTGTTTTCTTATACAACACCAATCGGAGGTTGTTATGATATGCATTTTAAAACTATTTTAACGAATTTGAATAGGTTTTCATCCAAAATATTCAATTTCATAATTGGTTTGACAGTTCATTGTCCAATCAGCTGTGTCGATGCGTTCAACTGTATTCCACCATGATATACAAACAGAATAGCGCTTTTATACTATTGGCGTAATAGATTTAGGCCAGTTAAAAGTTATGTATGACTAGGACAGTGTTGGCTTGTTTGTTCGGGATACCATAGTATTTTGTTGCTGCAAAACGGAGGTAAATTAGGCAAAAAACAAGTGAACTGATGAGATTTGGTGGCTCTTTCCGAAACCTAGGTACAGGGTTGCCCATATTCGACGGACCCATGTTTTGTTATGCGACTTGTGTGCTGTGGAGCGCTGTCTTGTTGAAACCAGAACTGCCTCATTCGCTTTCGACGAATAATTGGCATCACAAAATTGGTCATCATGTCGCGATAACGCTCCTGATTGATGATAACAGCATGACCATTTTCATTTTGGAAGAAAAACGGCCCAATGACCGTTTTCGCACTAACGCCGCACCGAACTGTGACTTTTTCGTCGTGAAGAGGCATTTGAGGATTTTCAGTGGCGTAAAAACGGCAATTTTTTATTTCAGAGCGCTCGCGTGGCATGTATTGGTTCATAGTAAAAATCTGCTTGGACTAACGCTTCAAACGCGGTATGTCATTAAGCGATGTGACATCTCTGTCAAAAGTTATGGCGTTGCCAGATGGGTCCGCCGAATATGAGCAATCCTGTATTCCCTGCCTTACCCCACTAATAAACAAACATCGTTATGTAGGACTAATAAATAATTTTTTCGTTATTACAAGTTTCATTTAAATATGAATTGTCCGATAAGCAAAAGGTCAGGCTATCTTCCTTTTATCTGTTAACGCAAAGTTTACTGAATTAATGTTGCCATATTTTATATTGATAATATGACAATAACAGCAAAATACATAAAACTAGTAAAAAAGCAGTAAGTTAGGCCTGGCCAAACTTTAAATACCCTCGACCATTTAGAACGAATTTGAAAATTTTCGAAAAAGATAACATTCGCCAAAAATTCTGTTAACATTTTAAAAATACCGAATATAGCCGTTATATCAGGGCCTGTACGACGTGCACCTACATAGGCATTGTTTGTCACAAACCATTACCATATTCAAATTCGAAACTTGAAATAAACGGTGAATAATGTAGCCAAAATAATCAAAATACCGTACATAGGGAGGTACTGGTATATGGACCCTATGCGAAGACCAGGACCTGCATAGACAATTTTCTGTCACAAGCTGTAGCTTCCATTACGAACTTAACGACTTACGACATCTCAAACAATTTCGGTGAGTATTGTACCTAAAATCGTCAAAATACCGAATATAAGGAGGTACTGATATATGGGGCCTATACAAAGACCTGGACCTGCATAGACAATTTTCTGTCACGGATTGTAGTTCCCATTACGTAATTTGAAACTACTACGGTGAATAACGACGCTAAAATCATCAAAATACCGAATATAGGCTGTAGTATCCATTTCGAACTTCAAATGCCAAATATGAAACAATTCCGGTGAATAATGTGTCTAAAATCATCAAAATACCGAATATCGGGAGGTACCGTTATATGGGGGCTATATGAAAACGTGGACCTACATGGCCCATTTACGAACTTAACCTAAACTTAAGCCTACTGGCAAAATAGACATGTGTGCAAAATTTTAGCCTTCTATCTCAATTCATTCGAAAGATAGCGTGATTACAACAGACAGGCGGACAGACAGACACACAGACAGACAGACGGACATGGCTAAATCGTCTTAGAATTTTACGCTGATCAAGAATATATATACTTTGTTGGGTCTAAGATCATTATTTCGATGAGTTACAAACGGAATGACAAAATGAATATACCCTCCATAGTATGGTGGAGGGTATAAAATTGAATTGAATATTTATTTCACGAAATTAATTACAAAATCGTTTTGTGTTTTTATAAACTGAAATGAAGATGCCACTGTTAAAAATTCGGTGACTACCAGTTACACTTATGTTTTATTGCCATATATCTGAAAAAATGCACCTATTTTAAGGAAATGATGTAATAATGAAAACCGATAATGTGAACGTTACTCTTTACTTTTTCAAAAGGGATAACAAAATTGAATTATAAAGAAAATATATGAGAACGGTCCCTAGAGGGTTAACACGCAGACCTTGGACATTCTACAGGACTCAGCACCACTAAATGAGGTTCCTCGCTTCATTTCCAGCGCACAATGGCCACCAAAATCTCCGGATACCAATCCGTTGGACTACTGTGTCTGGAGCATTTTGGAAAGAAAGGTTGGCACTTAAAAATACCGAAGTGTCGATTAACTCAAGCAATTGCTTCGCCGGGAAGGCTATAATTCGTGCCAAAGGTGACCAATTCGAACAAATCTAAACTTATTCTAAAATTTGATGCTATTTCCGACATATTTTGCTTTCATTCAATGAAATTAAAAAAAAAATGTAAAAATTATGGCGTTTGACTTTGTTGACATTTTTTATCCCCCTATTGTATTTTTCGGCACATCATTTTTGACTATTTTCTGGATTCTCCAATATAGACGTCTTCGTTTCGATATGTATGTACCGGCAGTTGGTGTTTGTTCCACTGTTTACCTGAACTTGTTTAGACTGATATGCATCAAATACCCCCCATGTATTCTCTATGGCATTTGCTTACTCCCGAAATATTGAGGTATTAAAAGTTCATTGCGATTAGGCGCACACACCGTGACAATGGCATCGCGACAATATAAAAATATAATCTAATCCCCCATTTGTTTTGTTTCTCAGCGATATTTTGCAGCTATTGATAATGTTCTAAATTTGTTATACAATCAAAATGATTTACCCTATCTAATCTATGATTCTAACAATCGATTTCCATATTATGATTTTTTAACCCAAACCTCATATTACAATGAAAAAGAACAAATTATCGAAACTCTCGGTGTGACAAATATTATATTAGAGTTTATTCTATGAATTGGACGGTAACGAACGACAATGTTACAATATTCGGAACTAGGTCATTGACACATATTTTTTCTTTGTCCATTATGATTATTTTGATTCTATGTATGATACAATAAAATCAAGGTAACCTCATTTTAACTTCTCTTTTCCGCAAACTGCAAGGATCTACTACTTCTGCATTTGTTTTTTCGATATCGTAAAGGATAATCGGTTATCGTAGTAAAATCTTTTACATTCTTTTTTTTTGGAACAGACCCAGGTTCCCATCTCTGATTTGTATATATACAATGTATTTGTATATAAACATTTTGATAATGTCAAAAGTATAATTTTGGAATCATATGATGGATGACGTTACCTTCTTTATTCCACTGTGATTCAATGCATACAAATACATAATCCTCTATGGTAGAAATAAGAAGGTAACGTCAAGCAATCGTATGTTACATTTTTCAAAATTCATCCATTTGACAATATCTGTTTGTCAAGTGTATATTTATAAATTCATTGTATATACACCAATCAGAGATGAGAACGTGCTTTGTATACAGTGAAATTTGACAAGGTTAATTTACTGAAAATACAGAGATTGGTATGCTTATTTTAAATGACTTTACCTTGACAGCAATCAGTTCTACGTGAAATTATAATAGGATGCCTTTGAAAACAATACCAGACACGCCTACTCCAAAAAAGACGCCCAAGTACAACAGCCACTACAAAAAGCCATGGCATGCAGAGTCTCAGTCAGAATCTTCGACACGACTGTCTGTGATAGTTCCAAGTTCAAATCATTTCCGACGCTCAGCTGGTACGCTCCTCCTTAGCAGAGTTATTTCCGAGCTCTATAAGATATCTGGTACCAAATATTATGACTGTCGAATGCATGTTACGAATGTAAGGGACTTAAACACCAAATCGTATGAAACATATATATGGGAGCTATAGCTATATCTGAACCGATTGTCACCAAATTTGATGTACTTGCTTCTGGACTGAATTCGGTCGGACGTGCCTAAATCAAGGTCATCCGGACTGATAGTGGTCATTTGGTGCACAATTAACCCGAAATCGGTTGATGGTATATATGGTAGATATATCCAAAATCTGAACTGATCTTGATGCAATTTGACAGAGGCATTTCTGGGCTGCATTTGATATCTGATACCAAACATCATTTTTGTGGGGTGTGTATTACGAATGTGAGGGACTTAAACACCAAATCGAATGAAACATATGTGTGGGAACTATAGCTATATCTAAACCGATTTTCACCAAATTTGTTGTACTTGGTTCTTGACTGAATTTGGTCGGATGTACCAAAATTCAAAACA